AATGTGTCTATATTTTGCAGAGACAGGGTCTTGCTATGTTGCGCAGGCTGGTCTGGAACTCCTGGCCTCAAGAGATCCTCACACCTCGGCCTCCCAAAGTTAGGATTATAGGTGTGAGCCACCATACCCAGTCCCCTTCTTTCTTGATATGGTCAAAAGAAGACCCTTGTGGGGTCCCCGTTCCCTATGGTAAGAATCAAGGAACAATTGGCAAGAGCTAAGATGATCCTGAATAGGTTTTGATTGGGGTCTTGTCTGACCCAACTTGGAGATTCTTTTAATTGTCAGGCTCCTTATTGGGTAGCTGGAGCCCATGTGTATGGAATGGAGGCCCTACTTTGCTTCCTGACCATAGGCCTTGGCTCCTCTAGAAAAGTTTTCAGGCCCAGGTGATAAAGGATGGATAGCCATGGCTCTCTGCCTGCCTTACCCTGAGGGAGAAGAGGATGTCATTCAGACTCCAAGGCTCAGCTCAGTTAACCTTTGGACTTGAGGCCTTGATTTCCTGTTGGGGGACCACTTATTACCTAGCTGAGTGCTGTATCATTAGACAACCTGACCTACCCTTCTGTCTTCATGAAGTAACATCTCTTCCATTCCTCTGCTGTCTGACGTGATCACTGCCTCACTCTTTGCTGGGGATAGTCTGTGAAAGCCCTTGCAGGACTGATTCACCAAGGAGCACCGCCTAGTTTGGGTGAGGACCCAGAAAACCTTCAGATGTCCCTGTTCCCAGGAAACCTGGTGAAACGTGCTCCATCTTGAGCCAGAGGAATCTGGCCTCCCACATCAAGGGCAAGCCACATCTTTGTGGACTTGATGGGGCAGGTCTCTGTAGCAAGGGAAATTGTTGTCTTCTCTTAGATTTAGTGATCTTCTTTTGAAGATTTCCTTAAGACCCTTAGAATGTGGCTTACTGGGGTAGAATTTTCTGACTTGGGTTCTGACACACACACAGACTCCCCCCATACACATAGAGATAATTATGTAACGAACCCCCCCATACCCATTACTCAACTTCAGCAATTACCAACATTTTGCTAATCTCGTTTTGCCTCCCCCTTCTTTTTTCTTGATATGTTTAAAAAGAAATTCCAGAAATTATGAATCATGCCATTTCACCTGCAGATCTCAGGGCCACACTCAGATTTTTCTTCCTGCCTTAAAGATGTCTTCTGTAGTTGGTTTGTTTGAATCAAGGTCCAAACAAGACTTGGGTATCACATTTTGTTGTAGGTCTCTTAAATCTCTTACAACAACTCTACCCCATCCCCATTTTTCCATGTCCTTGACTTGTTGGGGAAATTGGGTTATTTGTCCTGTAAACTCTCCCACATTCTGGATTTGGCTGATTACTTCCTTTTGTATCATTCTCCCATATTTTCTGTAAAGAGAGAGTTACATCTGACAGCATGATTAGATTTAGGTTCAAATTTTTTTTTTTTTGGTAGGAAAACAGAACAGGTGGTGATCTGATGGATTTTAATGTAATATCCACAGGGATCTAGACTTTGTCGCATTCTCTCTCCATTTGGTGTAAGTTTTAGACCTTTTATTTCTTTGTCTCTCAAGAAAGAGATATGAAAATAAACTGAACCAGGGTGGGTTGGCCATCCTTATTTTATTAAGCCCTGGGAATATTTGTCGGGTAGCAATTTCTTCCTTAAGATTTTGGTTCAGTTCTCTGATAAGGTATACTGATTTATCTTACTAATGTGTGATGTCTGCTTGGATGTTAAAACATTGCTTTCCATTCTGCTTACCCTATGAAAGAGTTAATTTTCCTTAGTGGGCTTCCTCTAGTAGTTATTGGAGAATAGGAGAATTTCTTCCCTTTGGTATGTTACCCTACCGACAGACATATTAAACAGAATAGGAAATGTTTAAAAAAACATAGTGGTACCCAGTGGTAGCACCTGGGGCAAATTTGGGGAGAAACATCACATATGTCTTTCCTGTATACAGGTATCATAGATCATGGTCCTTTTCTGTTTATTATAGACCTTTGGGTGGGTTTTTTTTTTTTTTTATCATTCTCTCTTATTTTAACTCTTGTGTGATTTTCCTGAAATCTTTTTTCACTCGTGTTTAGATGATGAATTTAGGGAGCTAAAAAGAAAGGGGCTTTCAAACTCTATTGGCTTTTTTCCCTTTCTTTTGTTTTTAGACTATCCTAGACCTTTTAAAAACTCTATCTGATAAACCTAATAAGAAATGTACACGTTTATTTGAGTAGCAGTGTAAAGCACTCTTGAAAGACTCCAAATCAGACTTTAACAAATGGACAGATTACCA